AGGAGTGGCTGGTGGGTTTGAACCACCAGCCTTCTGGTTAGCAGTCAAATGCCTTAGGCACTACACCACCAGAGTTCCCAGATCAAGGGTTGTGAAATGAATCTGCAAATGGAGACAAAACTAATTTTACCACAAGAAGAAGAGCCGAGGAAAATCAATGGAATCTCTACCACACTTGACAGATATTTGCTTGTCTGTCATTTACCTGGTACAAATGGTTAATGCCCTTGGCTGCTAACCAAAAGGCTGGAGGTTCAAGTAGACCCAGAGGCACCTCAGAAGAAAGAACTGGAGATCTACTTCTGAAAAATCAGCCATTGAAAACCCCATGGAGCACAGTTCGACTCTGACACACGTGAGAGCTCCATGAGTTGGAATCAGCTCGAAAGCAACTAGTTGGTTATCAGCTTCCTACAACTTACAGATTTGCAAAATAACTCCCAAAGAATCATAATGTAATGCGGCAGCAGGGTGTACTGGAGACAACACATGATTTCCATTGAAATACAAATGTTTTTTTCCACACAACAAATTCCATCCAGATATTGCTCCTAAAGCAGTGGTTTTCAAATTTGATGTCTATGAGAATCACCTAGAAAGAAAGCTAAAAGGTAGATTCCCTTCCAAAGATTTTGAGCGTGAATCATGCCCATGAAAATGCCTTTTGAACTAGCATATTAGCCGATTCTAATGCAGGTGTTCTAAAGAGCACACTTCACAAAACACTGTCCTAGAACAGATTGATTCCATATCCTGGACACAGCCTTTCCAATTGTGTTCCTCACAATATTTAAAGGTAGCTCTAGATTTTCATTCAAACCAGGATTCTGATGGTCTTAATGAGAAGTACATTTTCTATATCTTTTTTCTGAGATAAAAAGCTATTGTTTTTTCCTCCCTGCTCAATTTCACAGGACAGACAAGGAACAGTTTTTATATTATTTGAACACGTAAAGAGAAACAAGTTGGGAGTGTTGTGAGTATGAAGTATTTCTATGAAATACAATAAACTAACCAGAATGGTGCTTCTTATTGCATTTTAATCAGCATGTTGATTTATTGGAAGTCCATCTTGTTTTATTTTGATCTGTAAGTATTTCATAAAATAATTTTATATCTATGGGTAAGAGTCCACGAATATAGTTGATTAATTATCCAAAATTAATGAGTAAGATATAATACGTTGTTTTACCAACATATTACTCTCAAGTGCTTATACATATGCATAATAAATCTGACTGACAGGGAACCAGCCCAGATGTCCTGCTTATGGAGGGACAGTTGCCATTCTGACATGCTCAGAAGTGTTCTGGTGACTTGACAAGATGTCCTCCCAAATGGCAGGGTGCAGCCCGCTCCTCAGGTCCAGTTGTAGCACTCACACAATCTTCTGAGGATATGTGTATACTGAGAAGAGTCCTCAGGAGGCTTCTTTACCCTTGCCTGTTACCTGCAAATTTCTCTCTAGAGTATTTTGGAGAGGTAGCACACTTGTTTCTTTATCTCTCACTCACTCACTGCCACTGAGTCAGATCTGACTCATATTGACCCCTCCTTGGGTTTCCGAAGCCGTATCTCTACGGAAATAGATTGCCTAGTTTCCTTCTGAGGAGTGGCTGGTGGATTTGAATCGCCAGTCTTCTGGTTAGTAGTCAAGTGCCTTAGGCACTACACCACCACCAGAGCTCCCTTTCTTTATCTAGGCCTCAGAATTCAGATATCTTGAAAGATGGTTATTTGGTACCTTTAAGTTATGCTAACTCACTAGGAAATCATCCCTGCCCTATATTTCTCTCTCTTATAACGTCTTTAGGGAGCTCGGGTAGCATAGTGCCTAAGGCACTTGACTGCTAACCGGAAAGCTGGCAGTTCATAACCACCAGCCACTCCTCAGACGGAAGATGGGGCAATCTACTTCTGCAGTGATACTACCTCGGAAACCCAAGGCGGGGTCGCTATGAGTCGGGTCTGACTCAATGGCACATTACAACAACAACAACATAACATTTATAGCAGTGTAGACATCATGGCTTCACATTGAAACATACACACAAAGATACGGGACTAGAACAACCAAGGATTTGCAGTTAGCAAGCTAGTATATAAGACATTTGTATTTCCCAGAGTTGTGAATCTAATTAAGCAGGAAAGGTTTTAAGTCTAAGCACATTACTAAGCTCAGGACTTCAGACAGATAGGTTAGCTAAGGACAAGAACTGGACTTTAGAACACAGAGGTAGGAACTCTAGCTTAATGAGCACAGGCTAGCACGAAAAGCAAAGAACCAGTTGGGCCAGGATGGGAACAAGAGAACCCTTCCTGCACATGGGATGTGTTCAGGAGGCATGAGCTCCTGGCAGGGGATGGGAAAAGAGAAGCCAGTCAGGCCAAATAGGGATCTAAGGGGCTCAGGTGCCCAGTGGTCACCCTGGGAGACCATCAGTTCTCAACCTCAGTAACAAGACATCCTGAGGGCTAGGAGTACAACCATACAAGCTCAAAGAAGAGACCACTGTTATTAGAGATCCAAGCTCATAGAGGGGTGGCAAGAAGAAAGCCTGTTAGTAGGGGCAGAGCCCAGTAGTGGCTGGTACTCAGGAGCAGGACATGTGTCCTAGAACTGAGAGTATGAGACAGAGGGAGTGCTAACTGGGCAAAGGCAGGGTTCTGCACCATGAGCCACAGGAGGGTGGTTACTCACGCAGAGAGGAACCGGGCTCAAGAAGAACCATCACAGAATTTAGGAGATAAAAGAGACTGTCTCATGAACATTTCATCGAAACGACCTAACAGCAAGGTTGATTTGATGCTAAAGTTTACAGAATGAGTAATTAGAATGGTAACCAAGAGGAACTCCCCCAGCTGTCCCTACACCTGTACCTGAGATTTCAAACAAGGATGCCTTGACCTGCAGGCTAGCTTCAGTGGTAGAAATAGTTCTGTTGGTACAGTTTCTAAGTAGTTATTGCTACTCACACAGCCTACAGAGAGGGCAGTTGACATGGGCATCCTGAAAGACTCTCGAGCCTTGTCTACTATTTTATGTCCCATCTTATTCTTACCCCTCACTGCAGTCATTGACCCAGAGAATGTTCCAGAATAGAAAGATCTAAGGGATGGATCTGGGAGCTCTGGGAGCGTTGTGCCTAAGGCATTTGACTGCTACCTAGAAGGCTGGCAGTTCAAACCCACCAGCCACTCCTCGGAAGGAAGATTGGGCAATCTACTTCCATAGAGATACCACCTCAGAAACCCAAGGAGGAGTTGCTATGTGTCAAAGCGACTCAATGGCAGTGAGTTTGAGTTTTTTTGAAGGGATGAATCTACTCTCATATCATAGATAAGGAAACTAAAGTTCAGAGAGGGGATTGATTTGCCTGGGTCAGGTAGTGGGTTTTCTCTCTTCTGATCCTGAATCCAGTGTTCTTTTCATTGCACCACAAAGTCTATATGGTGGTCATCTTGTGTACAGAACTTTTATGCACTGCAGGAGATTGTGAGCTGTGTCATTCCTAATTTACTGTTTCTTAATATTAGATTAGATTCAAGATTATACCAGTAATTCTTTCTCCCCCCCCCCCCCGCAACACATGAACAAACCAAAGTTTATTAAAGAAAAGGGAGAAGGGAGGGGTTTGCGAGGGAGAGATGGAGAGGGTCTTTTGCCTACACTACCCTCAGGTATCTCACTGAACAAAGGATTTCCTAGGATTTATAAAGGGTTTTAGGTGGAAAAAGCCATTATCTTTAGTCATAGAATAGGTGGGGATTTCCAGGGGGAAAAGTGCCCCTGAAACTCATGTTGAAGAAGGAAAACTGAGCAAATAGAAACTTTTATTCTTTGTGTTGATTAATTTTCTCTGGAGGTTTTAATGGGAGGTTTTTCATGAGATGAAATCTCTATTGGAAAGAACAAGTTGCCATTCTGACTTGCTCAGAATGAAACATGATCTGGTGACTTGCCAAGGTGTCCTTCCAAAAGGCAGAGCCCATAGCCCCTTCCTCAGGTTCCATCTTGCCTCTGACACAGTCTTCTGTGGATATGGTATCCACACTGACTTCAACTTTATTCTATTTGGGTCAGGTCGGGCGAAGAACAGTCAGCAGGTCATCTCTTTAGGGCTTCAAGAGTGCTTTGTGGTTTGGCTTTGCAGGGATAATTTCATGCACACTTCATTTATTCAGGGATATTTCTTGGAATAGTGGAATTTGAGGAGAAAGTTCAAGGAAGGAATAATGGAGGAAATTCTAGAAATGAATTAATTAACAGGGAAGGGAAATTAGAGTCCATTCAGCCTCTTGGTTCCCAAGTGAAGCGTCATAGGCCCTAGAAGGCAGGAGAAAGGATGGCAAGAGGGGCAGGAATCTATGTGTACACCCAGCATCGTGTGTGTGTGTGTGTGTGTGTGTGTGTGTTTTGAAAGTATGGGTGTCAATCCTTACTGTATATAAGAATCACCTGGGCAGCCTGGTGAAACTATGCATTCCTTGACTCCAACCTGAAGATTCTGATTTTGTTGATCCAGGATAGAACCCAGGAATCTGCTGTTTTAAGAAACACCCAAGGTCTAATATATACTGACCCTATGACAATAAAATCGGAAGGAAGGTTGGGCAATCTACTTCCATAGTGATACTGCCTCGGAAACCCAAGGAGGGGTCGCTTTGAGTCGGGTTCAACTCCACAGCACATAACAACAACAACAACAATGACAATAAAAAAGCAAATTATTTAAAAGGGTTGCTGTCTCTGAAATTGCCCTTGGCCATTATTATTTTTTTATTTTTTTTTTTTTTAAGAAAAGATAACTAATGTTCAGCAGTCATAAGAGTGAGAGCGAGCAGTCCATGAATTTTGAGGATGCAGCTCAAAAAGTTCAGAAACCCTAATTTGATTGAATTTCTTCATTGCAGAAATGAAGACTCAGAGAGCTTAAGTAACTTCCCCAAAGTCACCCAGTTAGTTAGTGTCAGCACAAAGAACCCTGGTCTCCTGTCTTAGAGCCTGGGAAGCTTGCCATGCCCAGCTTCATCCAAGGGAAAACCCCTTCAGACTGAAAAGCAGCCATTCCATGGGGGTCAAAGCCTTAGCAGCTAACTTGACATTTTCACAGGTAACAATGGGAAATAAATAATTTCATGGTTTAATCAGTTGCCTTAAAGCCAGTCATTTAAAATGTGGGTTTTTGACTGCTAACCAGAAGGCTGGCAGTTCAAACCCACCAGCCACTCCTCAGAAGGAAGATGGGGCAATCTACTTCGGTAATGATACTGCCTTGGAAACCCAACGAGGGATTGCTATGAGTCGGATCCAACCTGACGGCAGTGAGTTCGGTTTTGGTTTGATAAAGAAAATTCTAGAAAAATACCCTGGAGTCTTGTTTCCTGGTTAAAACTTACAGTATTCTGTTTGTTGGACAATATTCACCACCCACAGTATAACTGTATAGGATGGTTTGGAAGTCGTCTCAGAAATCTTCTTGAAGGGATGCTCAAGTTTATAAATAAAGCTGCTCATGAAAGAGGTACATTCTCTTCTGAACATGGGTTAAAGCAGCAGGAGTCATTTGTACACATGAAATATAAAATAAACCACAGGCAAAAGTCTCCAGATACAGAGGTGCAAATGTCTCTGTACACAAGGAAATCATTAGGCATGAATTACACTTAGCAACAATTCTCTTAAACTAATTTAAACAATTTTTTAAATGAGTTAATACTACTGTCCTAGCTCAGTGGTTGCTTTTTGCTAGGAATGACTGAACCTATTGCTATATTCTGCTAAGTTGATTAATAAAAAATATTTATTACGCAAATCCTTTTTGTTGACAAGTTAAAATGGAGCCTCATCTTTCATATCTCCCTGAAGATTGCCACCTTGTGAGATTGAAAATACTCATTAAATTCCATCACCAGACAGGCACAAATGAGAGGGTGATTGTTTTTAAGCATGTGAGGGGAATGGTTGGTAAACTCATTTGTTTGGATATCATTAACAGAACAATCGGCGAGGATCTCCAGGGGGTCCTCATGACCTTTGCTCGCAATCTCTTCATCATCCATCAAGAAATATCATCACCTAATATGCAAGGCGAGACCAATTTTAAGGTGAGGTGTTAATTAACTAACGATCCTGGTTAATTTCTATACAGGGCTAAAAATACCTCATGCTGTATTGTAAACAAGTGCTAAGCCATCTTTTTTATTTTAAGCAGTACATATTTTACAATGTGCAGGGTCAATATTGTAAGGTTCCCACTGAACCCGTTAGTTAAATTTAATAGTTTAAACTTTTTCTTTGAAATAAAGTAGACTTGTTTAACTTGCTGCCATTTCCAAACCCTAGCTCATGAGACAATAGAGTTTTCTGATGTTACAGGAAGCAGTAACACCACAATGGAACCAAAACAGAGACTGTCACAACCAAAAATCATGAATGTAACCTACCTATTTTTCATATACACAGTGTTTGCCTAGAGATTCCTAGGGAATCCTAGTTTCTGAGACCCAGGAAGGACAATATGTGGTAGGGAGAAGGAGGACAAAACCCCAGAGCAGATGTTTCATTGCCAACCTTTTGAAGCCTCCAGATGGCCTCTGAGATGTCGGCCAGTGAAATCCAGTTGTATGTTTTCTAATCTGAGAGTAGAAGTCTTTGACCTCTAGAGAATGGAAGGACGGTCTGTACCAGAGTTTTTGAAACAGCAACTGAACAGAGATGAACACTTGTTATTGATCACCAAGATCACATCTGATTCCCAGCATAGACCTTCATCACATCCAAGTGGGTCAAGTAACTCAGGGGATTCAACTGAAAACCACATGTAATTTTTCACTTACATGAAAAAGCCAAACAGAAACATATATATATATATTTTTTTTTTTTCCCTTGAGTCCACGGCCTGATTCCTTTATTAACAACAATGATGATGTTTTACTCTTTAAAGTGAGACCATTGCTTTTCCCACAACATGATTAAGAAATTGAATTTTAAAAAATTAAAAACAGACCCAGTGTTGCATCAAGTTCCAGTGGTCCTGAAGGACCTATGTTCATCATTTATATTCGAAGTCCCTGCCAGCTAGCATCATTTAATCTATTACTACAATGTGCAAAATCTTGAGCCTCTCTGCATGTGATCAGTTCAGCCTGTCCAAATTCAGCTAACATTCAGAGTTAGATGGTTCATCCCAATATCCACAAAGATTAAGTAGACTCTGAGCTAGGACTTGAGGTTGGCAGAACTAATCACCCTTGACAAAATAAAGACTATTTCTCTGACTTTCAAAATCATCAAAAGCCACATGTTCCTCCTAAATGTTTTTTAAATAACTCATGGTTTCTAGACTTCTTAGATGAATCATTGTTATCTTGACTTTTATTGTTAGAAGGTTTATAAAAGTTTTAAACAATTAAATCTCAATAATATAGAAATAATAACAACTTGAGAAGTATAATAGTTTTATCTTTGGCAGTATTTTCTGTTTACTACCTAATGACATTCTAATAGGTATTTTCATTTTGTGAACAAGAATTTACCAGCAAAGACAAGACTGAATTTAAAATGGAAAGGTGATACAGAAAAGGCATTTGACAAAATCCAACATTCCAATCATGATAAAAACACTCAATAACTAGGAATAGAAGGGAACTTCCTCCACCCGATAAGAGTATCTACAAAAAAAACCCATAGCAAACATCAGACTTAATGGTCCAAGACTTAGAACTTTCCCCCTAAGGTTAAGAAAAAGACAAGGACATTTGTTTCAGCCACTTCCATTCAACATTGTACTGGCATTCTAGCCAGGGCAATTAGGCAAGAAAAAGAAATAAAAGTCATCTAAAATAGAATGAAAGTAAAACTATCTCTATTAGTAAATGATATGGTCTTATAGAGAGAAAATCCTAAAGAATCAATGAAAAATATATCCGAGCTAATAAACAAGTTCAGCAAGGTTACAGGTCACAAGAGCAATATACAAAAATTCATTGTATTTTGATGCACTAACAATGAACAAACCAAAATGGAAATCAGGAATACAATTCAATTTACAGTAGCTCCAGAAGAGTAAGATACTTAGGAATGAATTTAACAAAAGAAGTGCAAAGCTTGTACTGCAAACTACAGAACTTTGTTAAAAGAAATTTTAAAAAGACCTAAATAAGTGGAAGACATCCTGTGTTCATGGGTTGGGAGGCTTAGTATTTTTAAGATGGCAGTAATACCCCAAGTGATCTACACATTCAATGAAATCCCTATCCAAAGGCCTTATTTGCAGAAATTAAAAAGCAAATCCCCAAATTCATATGGAATTGCAAAGGACCCAAAATAATTTTGAAAAGGGAAAACAAAGTTGGAGGACTCCCACTTCTTTGTTTCAAAATTTACTACAACGCTATAGTAACCAAGTCTTTGTAATACTGGCATAAGAATAGACATACAAATCAACGGAATAGAATGGAAAGTCAAAAAATAAGCCCAACATTTATACTCAATTGATTTTTCATAAACGTGACAATTCACAAGGATGACAACTCTATGGGAAGAGAATAGACCTTTTAACGAATGGTCCTGGGATGACTGGATAGCCATTTGCAAAAGAATGAAGTTGGAGCCCTAGCTCATACCAGACCCAAAATTAACTCAAAATGAATCAAAGACATAAATGTAAGAACTTAAACTATATAACTTTTTTTAAAAAATCACAGGTGTAAATCTTCATGATCTTGGACTAAGCAATGATTCTTAGCTAAGATACGTAAAGCAAAAGCAACCAAAGAAAATACAGAAAAACCGATATAATCAAAATTAAAAATGAGCATCAAAAGACACTATCAGAAAATGAAAAAATAACCCACAAGATGGGAGAAAATATTTGCAAATCACATACCTGAGAAGGATATAGTTTACAGAATATATAAAGCACTCTTACAACTCAACAATAAAAAGACAAACAGCCCAACTGAAAAATAAGCAGATCTAAATGGACATTTCTTTGAAAAGATACATAAATGGTCAATAAGCATATGAAAAATTCCCACCATCATTAATTATTGGGGACATACAAATCAAAACCACAATGAAATACAATGTGTTATTGTGTGCTGTCAAGTTGATTCCAACTCATGATGACCTAGTAGGACAATAAACGGCCCCATAGGGTTTTCTAGGCTGTAGGTTGCCAGGTATTTTCTCCCACTGAGCTGGTGGTGGGTTCAAACTGCCAACCTTTCAGTAGCAGCCAAGCATTTACCATTGTGTCACCATGGCTCCTGAAATATCACTTGACACCCACTAAATGGCTACAATCAAAAAGATAGACAAAAGCCAATGTTGACAAGAATGTGGAGAAACTGGAACCCTCATACATTGCTAGTGAGAATGTGAAATGGTGTAGCTGCTGTATGAAAGGTTGGCAGTTCCTCAAAACTTTAAACATAGATTTACTATATGACCTGGCAATTCCACATGCAGAGAAATGGAAACGTGCACACAAAATTTGTACATGAATGTTCATAGGAACATTATTCATAATAGCCAAAAAGTGGTAAAGAACTCAAATGTCGTTAGGTGATGAATGGATAACTAAATATGGTATATCTGTACAATGGAATGTTACTCGGTCATATAAAAAGAATGAAGATCTGACACATGCTACAACATGGATGAACCTTGAAAACATTATACTAAATTAAATAAACCAGACACAAAAGGCTACATACTACATAATTCCAATGACATTAAATGTTCAGAGTAGGCAGATCCATAGAGACAGAAAATGGTTGCCTGGGCCTGGTAAATTCACTGCCATGGAGTCGGATCCGACTCACAGCAACCCCCTCTGGGTTTCGGAGGCGGTATCACTACAGAAGTACATTGCCCAATCTTCCTTCAGAGGAGTGGCTGGTGGGTTTAAACCGCCAGCCTTCTGGTTAGCAGTCAAGTGCCTTAGGCATTACGCCACCAGAGCTCCTGTGAGGGTAAATGGGGATGACTGCTAATGAGTATTTTTTGGGGGGCGGTGATGCAAATGTTCTGGGATTAGATAGTGGTGATAGTTGTTTGTGGTTATACTAAAAACCAGTGAGTTGTATACTTTATAAGGGTGAATTTTATGGTTGTTGTTGTTGTTGTTATGTGCCCTCGAGTCAAACCCGACTCATAGCGACCCCTCCTTGGGTTTCCGAAGCAGTATCACTATGGAAGTAGGATTGCCCAACCTTCCTTCCGAGGAGTGGCTGGTGGGTTTGAACCGCCAGCCGTCTGGTTAGCAGGCAAGTGTCTTAGCCACTATGCTACCAGAGCTCCCGAATTTTATGGTAGTATACCTCAATAAAAAATATATAAAATAAAATAGAAAGGTACTCTCTTTCTCTCTACAAGCCAATGAAACAGCACTCCCATCAGTCCTCATTTTAGGTTGACTAGACCAGTGCTTCTCAATTACTTGTAGTGAAGGATCAGTTTTGTTTTGTTTTTTCAAATCTGTCATGGAGCTATGTTTTTGTAAAGTATAACAAAAATGAATTAATAGGAAAATTAAATGAAAAAATCAAAGGCATACAAAATAAAAGCCCGGGTTGTTGTTGTTGTTATTATTATTATTAGATTCAACAGGCATAAAAATTGGTGTAAATTTTTCCAAAATTCTTCCTCTCAATCTTTTGACTTATTTCATCAAGCTAGTAACTTAACAATTTGCAGACTGGCCCCAGCTGAAGGAATACACTCTGAGTGGAACTGCTCCATTGGATTTCAAGGCTGTGACCTTTGGGAAACTGATAGCCAGACCTGTCTTCCAAGGTGCCTCTGGGTGGGTTTGAACTGCCAACCTTTCAGCTAGTAGTCCAGCACTTAACTATTTGTGCTACCCAAGAACTCTTAGACCTGATGTAAACCATGCTTAATTCAGAAAGAAGCAAATGCTTGAGGAGTGGCGCATGTTGTAAAAAGTCCTAAGAAATGAACATTAATTTTATTGTTCATTTACAGACCACTATTGAAGATGTTGAAACCATTCTGGGAGTAACAGAGGAAAACAAACTAAGATTTGAAGAAGAGCAATCATCTAAAGAAAATAAAAACCTCTCCAGGCCTCAGAAATGATCCTGGAATACATTATCGATTTTGGATCCCAGTCTGGAGTGAAAAACAAAAAGGCAGCAATCTTTTTTGTTATTAGGAATAAAAAGGGAGGAAAAGTAGTTTGCCTTGTTTGCCAAGGAGGTAAATCAGAACTTGGTAATATTATAATGTAATGCTCTTCTTTTTTTATTATTGTTTATTAAGTGACCTTGTTTACTTATTAAACCAAAACCTGTTTGTGTATTCATTTGAATATTGAGCAATTCTTTTCTCTTCCCCCACCCAGGGGTGGGGAAAAAAAAAACTGATAAAAGAAGAAAGTTATAAATTCTTACTGATACCACTTCTGCATCTACCTGTTTATAAGCTTCAGGGTTTGGAAACTTTTTTTGTTTTTTCCCCATGTTTTATAAAGTTTTCTCCTATTTCTGATAGTTCCCTTCTACGTTGGTGGGGGGTGGGGAGCTGATTAAGGGCTTACTCTTTGCCATTTGGCAAAACACAAATGTATTTTTTTCGAAGAAAATTACATTTATGTGAAATTTTAAAGTAATTCTTCATCATTCATTGTATTTTTGTTGTGCCAAACCATTATTGTTGCTGTTTTTCAGAAAGTAGAGTAAGCGACCATCTAGTTTACAACCAAAGCATCAGAATTTATCTAGGTGGCAGCATCTGCTCTTAGTTTAAGATACAGTGTAATTCGAGCCCTCTAGATTGAATAAACATTTGTGTTCTCCGGTTTTCCAGTGAATACAGCAGTAGGATTTTCACAAGCTTAATTCAACAATACCTTTTAAAGAGAAACTTGTTAAAATTTCGCAGTGCTGACAGTAACTCTCAGTGTTTGCTTCGGTACATGTCCAAAAATCCTCCTACAGCAACTAGCTTCACAGAAAGGTGAAATATGCAAGTCACAACAGCAAAACCATGTACTTGTTTTTAAAAATGGCCTTTATATCTTTTAAAATATTTGTGTATGGTGGGGAGGAGAGGGTGTTCTTCACCTATCAGATGTCAATAATTTCTTAACTGTGCCACAGCCACAGGCAAAGCATTTCTGCAATAAAATTGAGCCAACATTTTTTGTGTCAGCTTTTGTTTTGCTATAGTTGGAAATACATTAATTAGCCAGGTTTCCTGCCTGCGCTAGGTACAACGATGACCTCTTTTCCTTGCCAGATCGCTCTAATCCATACGAGGGGCCCATTGTCCAGACACTTGACGGATAGGAAGTGATACAGGCCCATTAGAGTCGCGCCTTGATTGAAGCCAGAGCAACATAAGGTCCAAGAGACTCATTAGTTCACTGGCACAATCGTGTCCTGAGAGTAAATGAAACCCTCTGTCTCCTTATGGCTCTCATCTGCTCTGGACTTTAAAAGAAAACTGTCTCTGTTTTGTTCAGCACAGCAGTGGGTTCATTCACATGGGGAGAGCCCATCTAACAGTACAAAACTGTGAAATCTATTGGGGAAGTTTGATATGTGCATTTTTATTAGCACTCTCGAGCCTCAAGCTGCTGGCAGCGGTAAAACGAGTTCCCTCTCCTGTACCTTTTCTTACCCACGTGATTGGTCTCTGAGACAATGGCTCATCCCTACTTTGCATCTATCATTAGCATACTCCACAGATTGCCTGTTTCCAAACTCAGGCCTTATATGCATATTCAGGTCTCACTAGAAAATGATTGGAAGGAGGTTCTCTACCTAAACACTGACTGCTTCAAAAATGATAGGAGAACGATTGGTATAATAAAACAAAAATGATAGGAGAACGATTGGTATAATAAAACAACCACTTCAAGGAATTAAGTGGAGGAAGCCAAAGGACTAGATTAAATATTAGTGGAATGTTTTAATTACAGAACATTTGAAAAGAAGTATATATAGTCCATTATCTTGTGGCACATATAGGTTGCAAAGGTACTGTGCTATTGGTAAACTAAGGCAAATTTGAAAAATATCATTTATATGTGGACAACATCTAAAGTATCCCAAACATAAATCAGTTCAGGTGAATTACCGAGCTTTCAACTCTAAATGGGAAAGAAATCTTTGTGGGTAAGAGGATTCTTGGAAAATGATGTGCCATTTTTCAGCAAGTTTTTAGGAGAAGCTACATTTCACAGTAGAGCTATCTTACTATAAGACATTTCTTACAAACCCATCGTTTAATATTGAATGTTTGCAATGGCTGGGGAAGCAAATTGAACCAACCATTTAAGACCACATGATAGGATGAGATCTCCCTTCACATGTTACCCACTTTATACTCATTTTGAAGAACCCACACAGATGATAATACTAAATGTAGTTCCACTGATAACTTGTGCTGTCTACCTACTTGTTTACCCTCCACTATCTACTCACATTTATCCTTTATTAACCACTTGGTGACTAGATATGGACTGTATTAGAAGGCTTTATGTACTTTATCTTCCCAACAACCCTATGTGGATAGAAACTACTACTGTTTTCAATTTTACATGTGAAGACACTGAAGATTTAGTGATGGTATCTCACCTCATATCTCAGAGCTAAATGAAAAGAAATTTGGGATTTGCACTCTTCTGTTACAAATTCCAACACGTTGTATAAAGTACAAAGGTTCAGTGCCACTTGTCCTAGATCATAAAAGGGATTTTCAATTGTTTTTTTTTTTTCCTTTTTAAATAACAGACTCTAGTGTATTATTTAAAGTACAGAGGAACAATTTAACTTACATACATTCCTGCTAATGCAATAAATGTATACAATTGATAACATCATACAGCATCATAATTGTGTGGTCAAAGAAACCAGGAGAAGAGAAAGTAGGGTTGGAAAATTCTCCTATGGTGATGGATCTGTAAGATTCTGGTGGAGGACCATCAGGAAAGCACAGGAGAGTTTGGAACTTGGGAAGTCACGCTCCACAGTTCTGTTTGAGAGATGAGTGAGGTCAAGAAATCACGGAAGGGAGGTTAAGAAAGGGCTTCCCACAAGATGTAGAATAACCTGAAAGGAATTGGGGAGCATGAGTTCATTTAGGCAGTCTTAAGGATCTCTGGAAGGCACTCTGGTGGCATAGTGGATGAAGCATTTGGCTGCTAACAAAAAGGTCAGCAGTTCAAACCCACCAGCTGCTCTGCAGAAGGAAGATTGAGCAACCTACTTCATAAAGATTACGGAAACCTAATGGGGTTCACAATGAGTCAAAATCAACTCGATGGCAGTGAGTTTGGTGGGTTTTTTTTCTTTGTTAAATACTCCATATATTTTCCACAACTTGTCTGTCAGTTTGTCATACTATGGTGGCTTATGTGTTGCTGTGATGTGGGAAGCTATGCCACCAGTATTTCAAATACCATCAGGATCACCAGTGGTGGACAGTTTTCAGCAGAGCTTCAAGACTAAGATAGACTAAGAATGAGGACTAAAATAGACTAGAAATAAGACTACTTCTAAAAATATTAGCCAGTGAAAACTTTATGAATAGGGGTAGAATATTGTCTGATATAGTTCCAGAAGATATGCCCCTCAGGTTGGAAAGCACTCAGAATACTACTAGGGAAGAGTTACCTTCTCACATAGGATCAACATTAGTGATATGAATAGAGTAAAGCTTTTGAGACCTTCATTTGCTGATGTGGCATGACTCAAAATGAGAAGAAACAGCTGCAAACATCCATTAATAATTGGAACATGGAATATACGAAGTATGAATCTCAGAAAATTAGAAATCATCAAAAATGAAATGATATGCTTGAAGATCAATATCCTAGGCATCAGTGAGCAGAAATGGACTGGTGGTATTGGCCATTTTGAACCAGATAATCATATGGTCTTCTGTGCCGGCAATGACACATTGAAGAGAAATAGCGTCCCATTCATCATGAAAAAGAACACTTAAAGATCTATCCTGAGGTACAACATTGTTCGTGATAGGAGAATATTCATACACCTACAAGGAAGACCAGTTAATATGACTATTAGTCAAATTTACACATCAACCACTAAAGTCAACAATGAAGAAATTGAAGATTTTTACCAACTTCTCCAGTCTGAAATTGATAAAACATGAAATCAAGACACATTGATAATTAATTACTGGTGATTGGAATGTAAAAGCTGGAGACAAAGATGAAGCATCAGTAGTTGGAAAATATGGCCTTGATAACAAAAACAATGCCAGAAATCATGTGATAGAATTTTTGCAATGACCTATTCATTACAAATATATTTTTTTCAACAACAGAAATAGCAACTATACACGTGGACCCCACCAAGTGGAATACAGAGTAATCAAATCAAATATATCCGTGGAAAGAGACAATGGAGAAGCTCAATATCATCAGTCAGTACAAGGCCAGAGGCCAACTGCAGAAGAGACCATCAATTGCTCATATGCAAGTTCAAATAGAAGCTAATGAAAATTAAAACCAGCAAAATATTGAAAGCCAGGTAAAGCCTTGATCATATCAGACCTGAATTTAGAGCCCATCTCAAGAAAAGATTTGACACATTGAACATTAATGATCAAAGACCAGACAAATTGTGAGAGAACATCATACATGAAGAAAGCAAAAGGTCACTAAAAAAGACAGGAAAGAAAGAAAAGACCAAAATGGATGTCAGAAGAGACTCTGAAACTTGCTCTTTAATGTAGAGTAGCAAGTGAAGGAAAGAAATGCTAAAGTGACAGAGCTAAACAGAAGATTTCAAAGGACAGATTGAGAAGACAAAGTAAAGCATAACAGTGAAATGTACAAAGATCTGGAGTTCAAAAACCCAAAGGGAAGAACATGCTCAGCATTTCTCAAGCTAAAATGACGGAAGAAAAAATTAAGCCTCGAGTTGCAACATTGAAGGATCCTATGAGCAAAATACTGAATTAAGCAGGAAATATCAAAAGAAGATGGAAGGAATCCACAGTCACTGTGCCAAAAAGAATTGGTCAATGTTCAACCATTTCAGAAGGCAGCATATGATCAAGAACTGATGATGCTGAAGGAGGAAGTCCAAACAGCACTGAAGGCA